TATGTCAAGTGTGAGTTGGAGTCTCACATTGGCTATAAATATGGAGAGTTGAGTATTTATAAGTGGGAGAACCCATACACCTATCACTTTAAGGTTTTGGGTGAATATGTGGTGTCTCTCTCACTTATGTTACTCTTGACCCAATGTTCAATTCTCCCTAGTGAAAAATCCCCCATCAAATGGTATCTAGAGCTCCAGGGGTTGTTGTTGATCAATCACTGCAAAGATGAATGGTAGCGGAAATTTACCAAAGTCCCTTCCAACTCTTGATGGCGAGAATTGGCTTCGATGGAGAAAATAAATGCAATCTCTATTTGGCTTTCATGAAACCCTCGAAGTGGTTACTAATGGTGTTAGAGCACTTGTTGAAGATGCAACTGACCACATAACCACTCACAAGGATGCCAAGGATGCATGGGATATTTTTTTTCAAGTACTATGAAGGAGGCGAGAAAGTCAAGGTTATTAAGTTGAAAACTTTACGATGATAATATGAATTGTTGTTGATGGGAGAAAACGAAAAGATTGCAGGCTATGTGTCGAAGGTGCAAAAACTCTTCCATCTCATGAAGGGTTATGGTGAAACCCTAACTGATAAGATGATTGTTGAGAAAGTAATGTATACGTTGACCTCTCACTTTGATCACGTTATTGCAGCTATTCAAGAATTAAACAATCTTGAAACCCTAAAACTAGAAGATTTGGTTGGTTCATTAGAGGCGCATGAGATTAGGAATGTCAAAAGGAAAGGAGTTCAAGACTCGATATAAGAACTACAAGCTCAGTATTGGAAGAACAATGGTGGTTCCAATAAGTTCAAAGGAAAAATTGACAAGACTCAGTGCAAGAAATCTTTGTCGAATCCTCACAAGAATAAGATCGATGATAGAACTTCTGAATCCTTAAAAAGAGGAGAAGGAAATTCCTATCAGAAAGACAAAGTAGAGAAAAAAAGGTGTGCAATGTTATAACTATGAAAAGTGGGTCACTTGGCCAAGCATTGTTGGTACAGGAAAGACAAGGGATCGGCGAAATGCAAGGACGAAGAAGCGAATCTTGGACGTCAAGATTCAGATGTTTCTGATAATATGGTGGTTATGGCTGTATTTGCAAATGACCATGTCAAATCCAAGATCTGGTTCCTTGACTCAGGCTGCTTGAACCACATGATTAGTCGAAAAGTATGGTTAATAGATTTCGAGGAGTCGAAGAAGAGCGAGGTTAAACTAGTTGATAATAGCTCATTGCAAGTAGAAGGTACTGGCAACATAGTTATTCAAAGGATTAATGGAGAAAAAACCTTTATCAAAGATGTATTATATGTCCTTGGAATGAAATGCAATCTGCTAAGTGTTGGACAACTGGTCGAAAAGGGTTTCTCAGTGGTTATGAAGATGTAGCCTTAAAATTTGTTGACATCTAGAATAACTTGGTCTTGAAATCTCCCTTGTTGAAGAATATAACACTTAAGACCATGATTAGTTCGACTGAGGTACAATGTCATAAAACAGTTATCGACCACAAGAATAGTTGGTTGTGGCATCTGAGGTTTGGTCATCTAAACTTTAGGTCGCTCAATCAATTGATCACTCAAGATATGGTAACTAGTATACCAAGTCTTGAGATGCCTGAAAAACTTTGTGAAGGTTGTCTAGTCGGAAAGCAGTCCAGGAAATCTTTTGTTTTGACTATGCCAATGAGATCATCCTACAAACTCAAAGTTGTACATTCAGATGTAAGTGGTCCTTTTGAAGAGCATACCATTGGTGGAAACATGTATTTCATCTTATTTGTAGATGAGTATAGTCGAAAGCTCTGGATCTATGTGATCAAATGAAAGGACAAAGAATTTGAAATCTTTAAGAGATTCAAGATACTTGTCGAAAATCAGGGTGAAAAGAAGATCAAAGTTCAGCGAACAGATGGAGGTAGCGAATACACATCCAAGATATTTGAAGCATTATGTGTGGACATGGTGTTGATCATGAAGTAACTGCTCCTTATACTCCTCAACATAATGGAATAGCAGAAAGAAGAAACATGACCAAATTGGACATGGAGAGATGCATGCTGAAGAAGAAGAATATGCCCAAGTCCTTATGGGGTGAAACTGTTTCGACTTCTGTTTATATTAAAAATATGTGTTCTACCAAGAAGCTGAAGAACAAGGTTCCAAAATAAGTGTGGAGTGGAAAACGACCATCAGTGAGTCATCTGAAGGTGTTTGGCTCTATTTGCTACAAGCATGTTCCTGATGCAAGAAGAAGGAAGCTTGATGACAAAAGTGAACCTATGATTCTGGTAGGTATCATAAGACTGGAGCATACAGGCTATTCAATCCAATGAAAAATAAAAACGTGATGAGTCGAGACATTGTGATTGATGAGAACTCTATATGGGATATGAATTCTGGTGATCCAATTAACAAGCCATTGATGAGATATGATTTTGACGAAGCAAATAAGACGTTGAAGTTGAAGATACTGTCGATATTTCAGTTGAAGTCGAAGTTGTTGCTGACATACTCGAACTAGTCGAAGAGGATATGGCTGGAACAAGCCCGAGACCTCAAAGAACTAGAGCTCGTCCAGCAAGACTTTAAGACTATGAAGTGGTTGGTGATGATGAAGTCACAATAGATGGTAACCTAGTTCGTTTTGTTTTACTTGCAGGTGCTAAACCAATCATCTATAGTGAAGTCTTCAAAGATAAACAATGGAAGTCTGATATGGTCAATGAATTACAAGCAATTGAAAGAAGTGGGTGTTCAAGTTGAAGTACAATGTTGATGGGTCGATAGCAAGACATAAGGCGAGATTGGTAGCTCGAGAATTTCTTCAGAGAGCAAGACTCGACTACTCTGAAGTATTTATACCTGTCGCAAGATTGGAAATTGTTCGACTAGTGGTACCCTTAACATGCAATCAAGGCTGGTCGACATTTCACTTAGATGTGAAATCAACATTTTTGAATGGATCTTTAGATGAAGAGGTGTATGTAACACAACCTCCTGGTTTTGTGATTCATGAAGAAGCAAGTAAAGTATACAAGTTGCACAAAGCGCTTTATGGTCTCAAGCAGACACCTAGGGTATGGAACAAGAAGATTGACTCATACTTATTCGAATTGGGAATCGTCAAATGCAAATCTGAGTATGGTATTATGAGCCTTTGGTTCGAGAAAGGGACCGACTTACTTGTATCGAAATGCCCAGGAAGAGGTGTCCCGTTGAAACCGAAATGCCCAAGAAAAGGTGTATCGAAACGTCCAGGAAAGAGGTGGGTGTCAACGCCATTACAAGTGTATGTGAACAAAATAGTTTCCACTTGAGGGGAGCATTGTGGACTCACATTTGAGGGGAAATGTTGAGAATAATATGTCAAGTGTGAGTTAGAGTCTCACATTGGTTATAAATATGAAGAGTTGAACATTTATAAGTGGGAGAACCCATACACCTATCACTTTAAGGTTTCGGGTGAACATTTGCTCTTAACCTAATGTTTAATGTTCCCTAGTGAAAAACTCCCCCAACAATAATTACTCATTCAATATCAATTTTAATTAAAACTATCCAAATAATATTAATTAATAACAATCACTTATATATTATTATATCCAAACATAAATCAATTCTATTAAACTCAAATCTATTTAAATCAATTCTCGTAAATTCAATTCTATTAAAATCAATTATATTCACCTATATTCGCCGTCTTAATATTAGATTATATTCATGATCTACTTAATCTACTATCTATTAAGCCAGATGATCCATTATCTATTCATGATATACTCTGTCTTTCATGAAGTGAACGAGCAATGCATAAGATACTTTTGTAAAATTTGAACTTCACATTACTTCTTTTAATATTTTTATTTTATTTTGTCAATGATTTTGCATTTTTTCACCTACATAACAAACACTATTCTATATTATCTCAACTACATCATTATCATCACATTAAATACCACATTATTTTAAATACCACATTATTTTTGCATTCACTAAGATTTGCCTCATTACTTTTGTTACTTTTAATATGATTCTATGCTTGTCAAAATCAAGGCTATGAGTAGAGTAAGTAGCAAAAAGGAACAAAACTATCAAAGTAGACAGAGTTGTTGGAACAACCATAACCAAAGTCAGAACACTGACAACAATATTGGCAGTGCTACAAAATGACAAGGAACACAAACAGTACTTCTCCATTGAGATCCACTCTTCATCTTTCAAGCTCTTACACTTTTTTTCTTTTCTAGTCTTTGAAACTTTGAAGTTAAACCAATATAGTAAACCTTGTACCTTAACGCGCCCCAAGAGCGTGCTTATTTGTCTGCTTAAAATGAGGAAACAATGCACAATTTTAGCATAAAAATAGGACTTTACTATGCGCGTGGAAACATGGTACACTGTACTATGTTAAATTGTCAATGTGCTAAAAAGAAGAAAGTAACACTTCCACCTCATCCTCATTTCTAGCTTTGTTCTTTCTTTCTAACATTCAAATCCAAAGCCCGCCACCCTTTGTCCCCCTTGTAGCAAAATTCAAATCCCACTTTTTATTGTTCCCATTTGCTTTTATTTGTTTATTCATTTCAAAACTTACATAATATCAACACTAGAAATAGAATATATTTTCCTAATCTTACGATCATACGATTAATATTAATTTGACTGCATGACTGTGTGAAAAAGTTGACTCTAGTGGATTCAGATTCGAGAGATTCACATGTGATTGATTATGTTAAACTCATTTTTAAAATTGTTAGAGTATCGACTAATCTGAGTTATGTCTGGTATTAGTTTTTGCGACACTTTTCTTTTTATAGATGTTTGTGTTACATGATTAGAAAGCATTCCTTTTGTCAATGAAGTAAATGGGAGATTAGGAACCAAACAAAATAACAAATTTCACTTTTTGATTTTTGATATTTGTATAGTTATTTTATTATATAGTTTTTTATTTTCTCTGTGTTTCTTTTCTTAGATCATTCAAATTATGAAACTCTCAACTCCAACTACATCTTGTTCAAATGTATCTCCATCAACTTCTTCCAACACACCAATGTGTAGCTCCAAAAGCACCACTACAGGTTGTCTCACAGCCATCATGCACAAGATTCTCTGTTCTGGAAATCTTCCAAAAGAACAATCGAATCAAGTTACAGAGTTTGATTCAACATACTCTGTTCTGAGTGGAAAAGATCAAAACTTTGATACTGCTGAGGAGAATTCTATGGCCACTCCTCCTCCTCCATTAGTGGCAAGGCTAATGGGTTTGGAGTCAATGGGAGATATACAGATACCTTTTGAGTTGAAACCGGGATCACTTTCGCGTAGCAAATCGATGAACTCTATGGATTATTTGGAAGAAAGCAATGGAAAAATTCAGAGTCTGAATCATAAGAGGGTTAATTCAACACTGTCATTTAGAGAACCCCCGACTTTTCGATTAAGCGAAAATGATAACTTTTTTGTGCTTAGCTTTGAAAATGAAGGTGAGAATGCTAAATCATTGAAATCCAATGGGAGAAAAAAGCAAACGGGTTGTTCGGAATCGAAGCAGAAAGTGGCAGCAACAGAGAGAATTGAACTGATGGAGAAGAAGAAGGAGAAGAAGAACATGAAGGAAAATGTTTATGCTGAGAAGAATTTGATTGAGAAAGAGAAAACGGGCAAAAGGGTGTCGAGTGAACTTCAAGAAATCACGAACACTTTGCGTCAGTTCAAGGCTTTGTCCGAAAAGAAGTGTTTTGATTCATCAGAAGTTGAACTGTTGAAGCAGAAGAACTATAACGAAGCCGTGGTTGGTGAAAAGCTGAAGAAGAGGAAGAGGATTAGGAAGAAGAGAACAAATTGTTATGCAGAAAAGAAGATAGAAACTGAAAGCATCAAATCAGAAGATTCAAGTCCTGTTTCTGTTCTTGAATTCGACCGCAAATCTTGTGCAGCAGGTTTGTTTCTTATGCTGATTTGACTTGTTCAACTTCGCGAGTCTTACCATGGTTTTAAACTGCAATTGTAGTCACGTTGCGATCCTTCATTTTAGCTTACGTTTGAATCGACTTCGAGTCTCGCAAAGTCACGTTGCGATCCTTCATTTTAGTTAAGTTTCTCTTCTTTTTTTTTCAGGTGTAGATTCTGTTGCAGTTGGTTTGAATTCGAGAAGAAAGTTGACAGCAGAGCTTGAAAAGGGCAAGCATATTCTTATGCGTTGCGATGATAATTTGATGATTGATGAGAACAAGGATAAGGAAATTGAGAAGAACAAATGTGAAGGATCAAAGAAGAAGATGAAGGAGTATATAGAGATTTGGGGGGAAGCATGCAAGCTAGTTGAAGATGAATTGAGTGGTTCAAAGAATCAAGTTGATGCATGGATGAAAGAACAATGTGGTCATTTAGAGTCAGAAATTTTTGATCAAATGTTGAATGAAGTGGTAAGTGAACTTGTTGGGTAACACCACTCATAACAAGTTAGTAACTTCAAAATTTTGTAAAAAATATTAACCCATATGAATAAAGATTGCACAACATTTCAATTTACATTTTCAGTTTTTACTAGTTTGTAGGCTATGGCACACTGTTCTATACTTGCACACATATCAAGGCACACAGGTGCATTGATATATCGTTGGATCACGGCGCCTTGCGTTTTTCCCCGGATGAGCAAAGGGGCACTCAGTCCAATCATGAGAATACAGAAAGCCGCAAATATGAACCATCCAAATTAAGAAATTGGAATCGGTAAAATTATCAGCATCTTCATTCACCAGTATCACTACATTAATCATCATTTCTTGGTTGCTGGAAAGTTAAAGAAATAGAAAAAATAAAGGGAAAAAGTGGAAAATATAAGTTGATACTGATGCATTCTGTCCAACTTCTGTATTATAGACATTTTACATTTTTTCAAGAAAATGTCACCTATACATTTTTTCAATATCTATAAAATTAAAAAAAGTATAATAATCCTTTAATACATAACTTAGTCTAGGGATGCATATAGGATCCACCATTTATCTGTGCTCATGCTCTGTTTACAATTGATTCTGGATTATGGCAATGCAGTTGAACTTACACTTCAACACAATATTGATCCGATTGCACTGTTGGTGCATCCTTCACTAATGAATTAACCCATGATTCCATGTTTAATAAATACATCTTCCTCATCAGTATTGTGTGCAATCATTCTTGAATTGCAACTTTGGTTTTTAAAGCCGAAAGAATAAGACTTTTTCATCTTATTCAGTTCATCGCCACGGATGGACCAGTCTAATTTTCCATCAGGGAAGCCCCAACCTGAGAAGTTAGTATATGGCTCCATATCAACCGAGGTAGCAGAAGAAAGCTCAGAACGTCGCCATGCTGCTGGGCTCGATAAAGCTCTGGCTCCGCTTCGACAACGCATCATTTTTTGAATTCATAGACAGATCAAGAGTGATCTGTGGTGATCCAATCACATTTGAATCGGTAAGGTCAGAAGAAAAGCCCCAAAGTTGCTGAGTCACATTCGGATGCACATGGTTGATGTTGGAGATTGTATCTGAGAATCGAGAATGCCATCGAGGTTAGCAGGATTCACACCTGCAAGCCTATTGGAAGGGAATGAAAGACCTGTCATCTCTTCAATCATTAGCTTCTGCATCAGACGATTTTCAAGTTCGAGAAATTCAGTATTATCTCTAGCATTCAAATGCAGTTTTCAATCTGCTTCTCAGCATCTGAAGTGTTGGGACTGCAACATGAGACTTAGTCAGCCACATGGCTCCACCTGCAGGACTCCTAATCCTAATGGAATAGGAAAAAAAATCATCATAATAACGAAGTAATATAGAAACTAATTTAAAGAGATACTCTAAGATAATAAACTAATCCCATTAGACAATTCAAGGTGATTTGAAATTGTTAAATAGCAGCTATATCATAGCAGAATTTGGTTAAACCACCATTTTTCCGCGACACTGTAGAAATTTTTTAACATTATGCTATAGGCCATATCACTACCGCATAGAAACTTTTTAACATTATGCTATAGGCTATATCACTACTGCGTAGAATTTTTTTAACATTATACTATTTCACGCTATCAGCGATCGACAACAATGATGTGATGATATTACAAGATAATTTTCTTATATTTTGACACATTTATCAGCTTAAGCTGTTCAGAAATATTGATAATTAGAAAGGTTATTCTATTAAAATGTATTTACCTGAACTTAATGTCCTCGAAATTGATATCTTTCAAGTTCTTTCCACCTGTAAGAGTGAGAGCCGTTCAACAATAATGATGTTTCAATCATGGAGTGAGAGCAAAATTATATGTGAACATTACTCACCTGAGAATATAAGAGCAGTGATGCTCTTTATAAGCACGAATGTAAGAAACAAATGCCCTGACTCCCTTCTCCATGACATCGCGATCTTTTGTTGCCGCAGAACGAATCTAAAACAAGTTTTGATTACTATCCATTGACAAACATAACAAATGGACCCTCCTATTGCATCCATAAATCATGTTGCTTTTGTGGTGTTAGTATGGCTTGTAGTTTCCTATTCCTTGAACCGGAGATACTATTAGGCATCATGACAACCAAGTCACTGCACCGGTTACCATTCGCATCAACAGAACCAACATCTGCAGATGCATCAAACAAAAGCTTGACAACCTCAGCAGAAGCTGCAGAACAACCAGAAACAGCACAATGAAGAGCAGTATTTTGGAAACAAGGTCCGCCAAATGAGAACAAAATTTGTAAGGATAAGAAACAGACTGAGTCTGAGGTTAGCAAATGTCACTGTCTCAAAATGAGCTTAAGTTTCCTGATATCAGTAACAGGGAAAGCCCTGACTCTTTGTCCCCAACTCTGTCAAAATGAAGGACCTATTCCTCAATAAATTCTCCTCCCAAAGCCTTTGTTCCCAACTCTTTCCTCGGCTTCGGCGAAAGTCCTTTGGCCAACATCTCTTCATCATACTTCCTAGCCATGTCTATCAACCCTTTTTCCACCAGAGCATCAATCAAAACATTGTAAGCGGACGCATCGGGACTACATCCAAGTTCTTCCATTCTCTTCCACACCAGAAAAACCAATCTAAGAAACCCCCACCTTGCAAACTTCTTGAGGAGCATAACATATGTGTCCATAGTAGGGCGAACCCCACTTTCAATCATCCCATCAAACAACTCAATTATAAACTTCGGTTTCTCAAGACAAGAAAAAAAGCATTGATAAGAAACAGCATTAGGAGAACAACCATTACTACGCATAGTTCGAAGCAATGTAAGAGCTTCCTTATATCTATAATTATCACACAAAAGCCTAATGATTGTATTATAAGTAACAACAGTAGGATTAAAACCCAAATCCTTCATTTCTCGAAATAGCCTAATCGAAAAATCAACACCTTGAGAAACACCAATAGCTCTAATCACAATGTTATAAACAACAACATCTAATTTAATACCTTTTCTCTTCATCTCCTTAAACAATTTCACAGCTTTCCAAGGCTTTCCACCTTTAGACAAAATATCCATATAGATCGAATAAGAATGTAAATCCTTTTGAACCCCTAATTTATCCATTTCATCCCAAAACTCCCAACACCTACTCCACCATCCCAATTTGTACCAACCACGAAGAACAATGTTATAGATCTTAGTATTATTACTACTCACAACCCCATCAACATTCCAGGCTAAATTAAGAGTCTTTTTCTTACCGAAAACCAAGTCTTGAGCTTCGAGAACGTGTTTATATTCGCAGAGAGCGTCGATGAGGTTATAGAAAGATGTTTCGTCTTTCAAATTGAACTCATTGAGACGTTGAAAAGTGGTGACTGCATCGTCGATGGAGTGAGCGGAAATGTAGCGTTTGAACATGACGCGGAAGGTGGTATGATTGGGGAAAGAGTGAGGATTGTTGCGCATTTTGTGAATTAAATTCCAGCATTGTTGGAATTCGAAGAACTTACCGAGAATGTCTAGGGTTAGGTTATATGTTTCTGTTGAGTGATGAAATTTGAATTCGGTTTCTACCCAATTGAAGAATTCGAGTGCGCGTTTCCAGTCGTTGTTGAAGGAGGTTAGGGTTTGGTGAACGGTGGTGTGATCAACAGCGGGAATATGAACGGGAACGGGATTGGGATTAGGGTTTTGTGTGGTGAAGTTGTTGTTGTGAAAAGAGGAATGGGTTTGGAAGGGTGTGAAGCGAAATCGAAGGAGGCGAGTTGTTGAAGATGGAAGATGAATTGGCCAACGCATTGTTCCGCCCGCCTGAGGGAGACGGAGCTTGATCTTTACTGTGCTTCTCTGTCACGGCATACAGACCTATCAATATGGGCTTCAAAATGAACAAGTTCCGAATTGTTCAATATGTAATACACTTCATGAATTATTCACACAAAATTTCAAAAATAATCCTTAAATATGTATTTTAAAACCCATCCGCATTTAATACACAATAAATCTTATTTAAAGCACTCAAAAATATATGTTAGATCTTACGATCCCACGCTTTCACGATCTTCCTCTGCGCTTTCAACGCTTCTTTGATTTTCACAATTTTTATGTCAATTAAAGTGGTGGATGGTTGTAAGCACGTAAGATCGTACACTTTAGAGAGTTAAAGCGTAGTCCTAACAACTATGACTGTATCTATAATTACTGAAATAGTTTAGTTGTGTTGGTTACTTTCTTGATATTGGTCTTATTCTTTCCGAACCAACTCCTATATATTGTGATAAAAAGAGGGTCACTCAAATTGCTCACAACCATCTTTTATGAATGTATCAAACACATTGAATTTGGTTGCCACTTCACTAATCATCATCTTCAACATGAAAAATTACTCTACATTTGTCCATTGACTTTATAAATTGTTGATTTGTTTACTAATACACATTCTATTAAATGCTTTCGTTTCTTGATTGACAAATTTTTGATGCTCGCTACTAATGCATTGTATTTTTAAAAGGGTATTTTAGTCTTTCTAAACATATTTTTACTGTGGTGTAATTCTTACCCTCAAAATTTTATTTATTTTATTAAAATCCTAAGTCAAAAGGATTTTCTCCTTCTCAATATTTCTATATGTTGACTATTGCTAAGAGGTTAAAGGGTCCGATCATATTAAAATGAAATCAACAAGTAGGAGCTATTCAGAAATAAGAATATGTAAAATTATCAGCATCTTCATTCACCAGTTTCACAACTACCTTCTCTTGGTTGCTGGAATCTTACAACTCAATTGAACATAACTAAATAACAAAACAAAAATTAAGAGGAAAAATGGAACTATATACTATACAGTAGTAGCAGTAACAAGTTAGTACTGATGCAAGGAAAATACTTGCATTCTGTCCAACTTCTGTATTATAGACATTTTACATTTTTTCAAGAAAATGTCACCTATACATTTTTTCAATATCTATAAAATTAAAAAAAATATAATAA